TTTACTGGTGATTATTTTCAAATAAACTTAGAAAAAAAATCACTTGGAATTTAGAATATTTCAAAGTAGCAGATGTTAAGTATAATAGTAAGAGTAACAGTATATTCTGAATGTAAAAAAAGATTAATTACTAAATACCTACAAAGTCTATGATGTTGTTAAGTGCCAGCGAGTCAGCTCGAACTCATAACAACCCTGCACAGGGTTTCAGAGGAACAACTAGTGGATTTGAACTGCTAACCTTGTGATTTGCAGTCCAGTGTTTATCCTACAGCACTAAATCAGGAGTCAATAACCTTTGTTAAATTTAATAACTTGCCAAACATTTACAGCAATTAAAATTCATAGACTATAACTGGCACACAATAATAATAGAAAATATTTGTCAAATGTAAGAAGAAATGCTGCATCATATAATCTAATGTTGGAAACAGTTTTAGACGGCATCTAGTTCAACCTCTTTTTCAGTGTAAAACAAAAAACTCTCTTCAATGTCCCATATAAGCAAATTCTGATCTTTGAGAACTGCTGTATAACTCTAAAACCATGAAAACAATTTAGGCTGATACAGCACAAAGGTTAACTCCAGTGACACCTCCTAAACTTCTTCTAAAAAGAACAGGCATCCAAGACAAAAAGTCTCTAGTCAATTGGAGCAACAAAGAAAGGTAAGTCAAAAATAGGTAAAGGATATGGAGTGTGTGGCTAACTGTCTACATGAGACTAGAAGAACTGATAGTGTTGGTCATCACAACAGACAATTTGAACAAAAAGTGTACAGAAGAATTCTGATCAAAAGGGGAAGAACAACTCAAAAAAGAACAGTGAGAATAGTTACATAATTTGAAGAATGTAATCTATGTCAGTAATTTATACATGTAGAAACTGAAAGAATGAAAAGAAAAGAAAAGAAAAAAGCATAGGCAAACTGATGAATCAAAACTTCCAGAAATCAGCAGAGCAAACAAGATGGCGGACCAGGTGGCAGTAGAGTAAAGGAGCTCCACCAACAACAACACAGAATAGCCGACCAAGTAGGCTCAGGGGCTGGTCCCAGAACTCTGAACCACATATAAAGGAATA